TTTTTCGTACATTTTGAATTTTATAATGGGACACTCTTTTCGGCATAAAAATATATACCAGCCTGGTTGCTAATATTAAATGGATAACTGTTAGAAGATTCTACTGAAATAATTGGCTCTTTGTTACCGCTTAAGTAACTTTCAACCGAGCTCCACCTACAAATTGCAGTGGGCGTCTTGTTGTGTTTCCAATAAACTAGATTTAACGAACTTAATTTACTTTAAAATTGATATAGAGTTTAGGCAGTGAGAATGCAGGTTTGTTCCTCTCTTCAGGGTGCTGCTTTGTGAACTTACTCAGAATTTTATTTCATAGAAGTAACTATATTTTTTCAACTTTTTCTTCACAGCTTCTAAATTTCCGTACACTTATAACAGCTGATCAGCAAATCTTTAGGTTTTTATCGAATGGCAATAGCGCACTATCGTTCTCGATTTCAAACCTTTTTGGACTGTCGGGTTGAAAGGAAAATTGTTTACGTTCGTTGTCAAAAAGAAACAGAAAAATAAATTGTTTAAGTAAAAATTCTTCAAATGAATCTCAATAAAATCCAATTCCAATTGATCAGGAAGTAGAGAGAACGTTTAAAAATAAAAGAAAAATTCCTTCAAGGGCATTAAATATGACTGTACATCCATCTTGTTACATATGTTGAAAAGTATATTCATTTCGCTTAACGTACCAACGCATCCATATGGAGTCTGCTGCTGGTACCTGCCTCAAGGCAGCACTAAGCATCTGAAAGGCAACAGTCGACATACTTTGTGGAATAGCATATACTGAACCAACTATAACTTCTTATTAAAAAGTATACACACAAATAAGAACGTAGTTATTGAGTTACATCTATACGTATGTACTCACAAACTTCCACAGCTAGTTGTGCGCTTATGTAGGTGTGTGCTTATTAGCAAAGTATAAAATGTGTGTGAGTTGAAACTACGTTTTGGCTGTATTCTTTAATATTCTACCATTCTTGCTGATTATATTCTTTTCAAACTACAAATATTTACTTAACATTTTTTGTGGTTAGACGGATTCAGACAGACATTATACATTTTATTTACACTATTCTCGTATGTATATACGTAGTTCACTTTGTTTTTTTTTGCAAATCTTTTACTCTTTACGGTCTTCGTGCAAACAAAACCCCAAAGGATATTTAATTCTACTATAAATTTGATGGCATGGCGTATACGCAACCTTTCTTCCCATTCCCCTATACTCACATATTACATGTACAAGTAAATGCTTGGAAACCAACTATTTTTTGAATATACATATGTACATATGTGAATAATTTTGCGGGCATTTACATAAAATATCTTGTGGTTATGTACAGCTTGAATTGATTTATTCTCCCCACTTTGCTATTCTTTCCATGTCAAAATGTCTTTTGACTTTTTCGTTGTATTGTTTCATGAATTGGTGGCGCGAAATAATTTACGAGCTTGTCGTGGTGACTTCTTGTACGCATTCAAATCTTTAATAAGTTTAATTCTTATGTAGTCTTGATTGAAACATGAATTTGTTCTTGTTTTCATCGTTTTCGTTTGCATGATTGACAATCATTTATATGGAAACATGCAAAGGAGAAAAACACAGCGTACCTTTTGCGCATTGGAAGTCTTTTATTTATCAGCATTTCTAATCTTAATTGGAGCAATATTCTGATTCTATGATATACTGCTATGAATTTCCATATAAAGTGTTGACATTTTGTTGTTGTAAGCTTTGTGTTTCTGTAGACATTTTGTACAAAGTATACTGGGCCTAAAAGATTCGAACAGTTTATCAGTTTATGCGAACGAAACAACAGGAGAATTGATAAGAATAAAAGGAGAAATGACATATTAAGGAGCTGTAAATGCTATGCTGAGATCAAATACAAGTTAAAGATGAAGTTTCGCAGCAGAAAATGCATCTAAAATCTTTTGCAGTGTCCCAGAATGCTTTAATTACAAAGCCTTTCTACAATAGTTACTGTAATCTCCTTCAAATATAAAGAGTATTCAAGGAAATTAGAAAAAAGTGAGACTTGTAAACGAAGTAGAGGATCGACATATTAAGGTCGAAGTAAGCGTTTCCGCAGTTTTTTTTCCAAAATTAATAGCTTTATTGGGAAAAAGTGCTTACAGATATATTATTCAAAGTATTGTCCTTCACTAGCGACAACTTCCTCCCATCTTTCCGGAAATTTTCGAATCCCGGCTCGAAAAAAGGAGTCCTCTTTTGACGCTATCCATGAAGCAATCCATTTTTCCAATTCTTCGAAGGATTGAAAATATTGATCTGCCAGGCCGTGTGCCATCGAACGGAATAGGTGGAAGTCAGAAGGGGCGACATCTAGGGAATACGGCGGGTGGGGCAAGACTTCCCATTTCAGGTACTTTCCGACCACTTTTGCGACGTGAGGGCGAGCATTGTCGTTTTGGAGGATGACTTTATCATGTCGCTCTTGATATTGTGGCCGCTTTTCTTTTAGCGCACGACTAAGGCGCATCAGCTGCGTTCGATAGTGATCTCCTGTGCTGGTTTCACCCGGTTTTAAGAGCTCGTAGTAAATCACACCGATCTGATCCCACCAAATGCAAATCATAACCTTGGCGCCATTAATATTCGGTTTTGCCTTCGACGAAGAAGCATGCCCGGGCTTTCCCCATGATTTTCGGCGTTTAAGGTTATCGTATCGAGGCCACTTTTCATCACCGGTTACGATTCGATGTAAAAACCACTTACGATTTTGTCTTTGAAGCAGTTGCTCACATAGACATAGACGGCGCTCGATATCCCTCGGTTTGAACTCGTACGGCACCCAGTTTCCTTTTATCTGAACCATGCCCAGGGCCTTGAGACGTTTCGAAATGGCTTGCTGACTCGCTCCCAACGATTCGGCAAGCTTTTTTTTTAGGTTTGGCACGAATCTTCATCAAGCGATGCTTCTAGTTGTTCATCTTTGAAGGTTTTTTCTCTTTCACCACCATGTTTGTCTTCGACATCGAAATCACCATTTTTAAAACGTTGAAACCACAGCCGACACGTTCTTTCACTAAGAGCATCATCATCGTAAGTTTCTGAGAGCATTCGATGTGCTTCAGCTGCATTTTTTTTTTTCGAATTGTAACAAAAAAATAAAACTTCCCGCAAATGGCGAGAATTAGGCACATAAGCGTAAATATTAGACGTGACTAGAGGGAATATCGAGTCGCTCTTTATCCGAAAACACTGTTTTATCGTACTTTGTCTTGCTAGTTGTTCTGTTAAGCCTCAATTCGGGAAAAGCTTTACGGTTACAACAACAATAACAACATTTATCCTCAGTCACTAGTCTCGTATAAAAGTATTAATATTTCTTCTTATATAAGCTTCTGCAACTCAAACCCAATTTTCCGCGGCATGGAAGTTCTGGGTATATCGGCGCTCTTACGCTTCGGTTCTCAGCAGTGTCAGAGAACCGATCGATCACGGAAGACTGTAACTGCGACCACGATGTCAAGTGCTGACTACCTCATACTTAGTATGTAACTTTTGCTCGTTAAAATATCAAACCTTAGTAAAAGATCAATTTACTGAAAAATTTGAGGTTTGATGTGCTATCCTCACTGTGTGTTGCCTAATCGTTCGTTTGCAATTAATTGATTTCTTTTAACGAAATTTTCTTAAGAAAGTGGCGTGATTTTAGCGTTGAATGCATAATGGTTTTATAGTTTAGGTGGCGTGGTCTTTCCGTTATTTTATGCGTACCTTCTTGTAGTGTTGTTGTTGTTTCTTCTTCTCGTTCCTATTACGGGATTCGTATTCACGTAATTTTTTGCATTGTGTGGACTAAATTCCGTTCGGTATATTTGCAAATATGTAGGACAACGTTTTATTAAAAAGACTGATCACTAAAAACTAGCAGCATAATTTTTAGTTTGAACTATAAGTTATCACTTCCAAAATGCTCTTTTCATAATGCGAGTCCTAAAAAAAATTGGTACTCTTCACGGGAAAGAGTCATAAGCTTTTAAGCAGGTTTTACTTAAGTTTATCAAAATTCTAGTAAGGCCAAAGACATAGGCATAATTTTAGATAGGTAACCCATTCAAAATTTATAACATACAGATGACCGCACACATGCATAGCAGCAATCCGTCTGCGTCAACAACATAAGCAAACTCACGTCTGAACGCAAAACAGGTGCAGCTGTTACTAGATGAGGTCATAATCAATATACAATGTGTTCAGACCTACATGGCCATTTTTAGAAGAAAAGAGAATAACATATCTACCGCGTCCAAGCTGAAACGGTCTTAGCAATGTAACCGTAATATTAAGGAGGAACGGTAGGTTAGTTGTATAGGTTACTTCTTTTATTATTTCTGATATAGCTGTATGGATATGGCCAAAAATGAATGGCAGAGCAATATCTCTACCAAGGCAAAACCTATATTGCTTTTTAGGATTAACTAAGGAACCTTACTAAATTATCTTCATAAGTACTTCAAGCATCTAGGAGGATGAGAAAAATCTTTTTCACACTAACTAACAACTTTATTTGTTAAAAACATCTGTAATATTCCTTACCTTGAGCATTAAATCATCGCAAAAAATTTACTAACTGAAATCTGTGTAGTTGTATTTCCTCGGAGCCACAGTAAAGTCATGCCTGCATATGTACAACTTGTACAAGTTTTGAAATGAAGAAAGTCATAGTTTTCCAATTAACCTAATGATTCATAGAAAATATGATTACCCATAGATAAATCCAATACTTTTAATAAAAAAAATTATTATTTTATCTATCACTTGATTACAAAATTAAACAGCGTGTCTTATTAATATATTAACCAAATTGTACTCGTGCCTTGTAATATTCTTATTGAAAAAAAAATTTTTTTTGGTTATTAAAAAAAAAACATACACACAGACTATTCATTTAATTACATTTACAAATTTATTATGAGTACCATAAAAATTAAGTAACAATATTAATTCTAATATTTTTATTACATTTCAGGGCAACATATTTGGAAAACAAAAAAAATGCGTCACAAATATTATAAGGCGATTATGTTGTGTGCTTATAAAAATAGCAATAAGTACAGATGCAATGAAATTAATAATGTTGTAAAAATTAGGTTGATGGAAAAGCAAAAACGGCGGCAGAGGGATGCCACAAGCAGGCGACCATCAAACGTGAGCCACCAGCGGAGTTGTGGAAAATTCCAAACCCTGATTATGGCTATAAAAAGAAGGGACACACGTTCAGGAAATGTGCGAATAAACAAAAATGTGAGCATAGCAACTGAAGGTGAAGACGTGAAAAAAATATTGGCAAAAACAATAACAAAGAAGGCACCAAAATACAGTCAATATGAAAACAAAATTGAAGAAGTCGATGATAATGAGTTTTCTGAAAAAACTATTTCAGTTTAATAAAGAAAAAAAAATATCTTTAAAGTATAGCAACAGTGTCCGTAAGTGAATGCGCGAGATCCTTGAACATTTTCACATAATTCCTTTGCTTCAATTACACGCCACTGAATATCCGAACTTGTGTTTAATGAATTTTAGTTTTATTTTAATTTTATTTTAATTTTGTCGCGGAAGTGATTAAAGTTCTCGACGTCTATCTGCTCCCTTTCGTACGTTTTCTTTTCATTGCGCCTTCCCCGTAAAGCCTGTGGCGGACGTCATTTCCGTTAACACTACCGGTGCTGTTTAAACCTCACTCTTCCGCCAAATACGACACGCATTGCCTTCACAAATCTCAGCTGCCCCATTTGCTGGCGTCACGACTAAGAGTATTAGCAGTTCGCGGCCGACATTGCCAACTGGCGGCAGACAGCAGCTGGCTGGCTGGCTGACAGTTTGTCCTCCACCAACAGGCAACGCAACAATTTGCAATTCAAATTAATTGACGTGCAATAGCAACAAGAACAAATACATTTAACAACAGATATTACAACTAAATACCCAACAACAACAATAATAAAGAAATATAAAAAACAAAAAACAACCAAAAAGGTATATAAGTTAAATACATTGGCGGCATTGAATAACAACGTCAGCGGCTTTCACCTTTAAATTACACACAACCAACAAATCGGCCTTTCAACCTTTCTCCATGTAATTCTATTTATAGAAACTTTCGCACTTTTAACGCGGCCACCGCCCTTTCCAGCTCACAGCACTTACGAGTGAACGAGTGAAATAAAAGGAGAAAAATAAATAGAAACAACAACTTCCTCAGCCTAGTCACCCTGCTCCCGCGATGATAACTCGCCTGTACAATACAGAGGAGAATCCTGCCCTTTGTTCCTTAATTTGGGGCAGAGACTTGAATGCATCGAATGTGAATGAACAAATCGATGAGAATGGTGGCGGTGATGGCGAGACGACGCTTGTTGGTAGCGTCTCAGGCGCTGCACCAACACTTTACAGCGCACACAGCAGTTATGGTGGCTCAGTTGGCGCTGGCATCGGTACTAGCATTGCAGAGACAGAGGATATAGTTATTGGCAGTGCAAATGTTGGCGGCGCTGGCGGCAGTAGTTTGCGTGATGATTTTTTCATTGCCAACGAGGTGAGTACTTGGAAAGTGTGCCGGACACAGTTTGTTTTTATATTACATATACATTACTGTTATTTGTAATTTATTTCATATTCTTATTTTCTTTTCTTATTAACCTATCGGACTTTCATTGATGTGCGAATGCTGGCCATATTTATTACAGTGTGTGTTTTTGAAGTATATATATATATGTATTTTCGTCCTCAAAAAAGACTCGGCACACATCGATTTTATATTTTATATTCCCCTTTTTGTTCGAAAGTGTTTCTTTTATGTAGTTAAGCGATCAATTTGATTGTTTGATTGACTGAAATTGAACGTCATTTCAATGTAAATGCCACTTATTTATCGAATGTGAAATTCAAAGGTGCGAGACATTTAATTTTTCAATTGTTTAAATTAATATTCTGTAATTAAAAAGAATTTAAATTTTTCTAGCCTCTTTGCCTTACTTCGAGTGAATTAGTTTGGTGATTTCAAAAAAGAACAATCCATGGCATCGAGAATGACTTAAAGCACTTTTGCCTACTCAGTCCAAAGTAGCACCGGTTGGCAAGAGGAATAATGCGTTGGATTTCAAGGCTGACATTGTTGTTGGTGTTAATACTAGTTCCTAACTAGACGATGTTATCTACGGCTTCCAAGATGGTGATGCAAAGACTGTTTTTTTTAAGGACAGGAGATATTTCGTCTTGTCCTCGTTCACTACCGGCGCGATTGTTGAGGCTGATTATGTCAATATCATAGGCATCAGCTTCACAATATAAAGAGTCGCTTTGTCTTCAATCTCTCTTGGTATCCAAAGGCTTGAAAAGGTCATTCTCCATCCTGATAGAACTTTCAGTGTTGCCGAGGTGAGTTTCCATGGCAGTATGTGTTCTGCGAGTGTACCAAATTCAGGCATAGCCGCGTGAAAGCAGCGCCTTATTGTGCTGTCGAAGGCTGCTTTTGAAATCGACGAAGAGGTGGTGGGTGTCGATCCTCTTTTCATGGCGAATATCTGATCAATGGTTGATTTACCAAGTCTAAAGCCACCCTGATGATATCAGGTGTTCAACTTTGCTTCCGCCGTTTTCCGATAGGTGGCTGTACCGGCAGAGGCTGGTTAAAATACATAGATAATAATGCCTTTACAGTGAGTGTGGACAGTGCCTATCGAATTGTCATCGCCGTTTCAGTGACAGTTGTTCTTGTTTTCGTATTATTCGCGCTCGAAAATGTTCGTTTATGTGCCTAATTCTCGCCTTTGGCAGAAGCTTTACTTTTCTGTTACAATTTGAAAAAAAAAATGCAGCTGAAGCACATCGAATGCTCTCAGAAACTTACGGTGATGCTGCTCTGAGTGGTTTCAACGAATATTCACGGCGCCAAGGTTATAATTTGTATTTGGTGGGATCTGCTCGGTGTTATTTACTACGAGCTCTTAAAACCGGGTGAAACCATCATAAGAGATCGCTACCGAACGCAACTGATGTGCCTTAGCCGCGCGCTAAAAGAAAAGCGGCCACAATATCAACAGCGACATGACAAAGTCATCCTCCAACACGACAATGCTCGGCCGCACGTCGCCAAAATGGTCAAAAAGTACCTGGAAACGCTGAACCCGCCGTATTCCCTAGATGTCGCCCCTTCTGACTTCCACCTATTCCGTTCGATGGCACACGGCCAATCCTTCGAATAATTGGAAAAATGGATTGCTTCATGGATAGCGTCAAAAGAGGACTCTTTTTTTTGAGCCAGGATCTGAAAATTGCAGGAAAGATAGGAGAAAGTTGTCGCTAGCGAAGAAAAATACTTTGAATAATATATCTGTAAGCACTTTTTTGCAATAAAGCTTTTAATTTTGGAAAAATACGGCGGATGCAAAGTTGTACATCTGATATATTGTATAATCAGATTGTTGGCGATGGGCTTTAATCCTTCATGCAAAACGCTGGAGGGGACAATTATCAAAATACACTCCTTTTCTTTTGAAACCACGACATGGCGGAAAGTCGAGGGAAGGTACTACAGCAAGGGAGGGGTTTTAAATTCGCTTGTTGTTTACTGGATTTATCTAATAGAATTTGCCCCATCCAACTTTATAAAACCACCACCGCAATTAGAAAGCCACCTTCAGGAGCATGTAGTGGGTGGGTGATTCACAGTTATTAATTTTTTTAGAGATAATTCCTGTGGAGAAATTTTTAAATATTTTCAAAGCACACATTTTCACAAGCGACTCTGAAAAACATTTTTTCTACTGGAGGGAAGAAATGAATATTGAGGTCATTTGATAAACAAATTTTTAATGCAATTGTATGGCATTGATATAAAGCACTGTTATCAGGACTTTGTAGTAGGTTTTCCTAACGTATGACAAATAACATAATTTATAATTTTAGGAAAAGAAAGAAGCATGCTAAATGGCCAAATGTGGGCCATCCCACGTACATTAAAACTTTGCTGAACTGGCTGTTGTCTAACAGAGTCCATGTTGTTACATAAACCATCTCATATCTCGTAATTAATTAACGGTCTTTTGAGACATTCACCGAAATTTATTAATATTATTCGATAATAAAATATTTAATGCGTTTACTTACTGAGTTCCAGTTAAACACCTGGTTGTGACAATTTCTATTAGCCAGCAATTGAAGTTAATTTATTTTTAGTAACTGAACATTTTTTAATGCTTACTTGCATATTTTACTGTGGCGATAAACTGCAAATTTTCCTTTTCACGCCATTGCTTTGAACTAGCAAATTTTATGTAATAGCAAATAATTTAAAAAAAAAAATCACATTAGAAAATGACAAGGTTCCCTTTCCAAGGCTCAGCCAGATTGCCAGCAACATGCATATATTTACATACTTACCTACATACAGCCAATGAAGCCGGCTATGCAATATTCATATATGTAAATTTGAGTAGCAAATTGAGAATTGAATATTTAAATTTCAAACGAAAAAAAAAAATGTTGTCAAATGAGTACAAGGCATTTTTGAGGACGGATATATACATCTGTATATATACTTATACGTGCTCTAGATATTTAAGATCTAGTGTATGTGTGTGTGTGTGCTTAAAACGTTTACATTTCAAATTTTCAAACACACTTTAAAACGAAACTCATTGACGTGCCTTCCTCATGCTAAGCAATCTTAACAGAGAGAATGACGCTGCGCATCTCTTTCTATTGCGAACCTATCAACGTTAAACGAGAAACTGAAATGAAGAAAAAATAGACAAAAAAATAAAAAATAAATAAAATGAGAACAAAATGAAAAAAAAAAATTGATTTGCCATACAAATACTAATACTAATGGCATTTGGTGAGAGCACAAAAGGCTGGCCGGTAGTGAGGCAAGCAGCTGACGTTGGGCGTTGAATGTCAACGGCATGCTACAGCGACGACAGCAGCATTACATAGGCACTGTGTAGTAATGACATTGGCAGACACAGTCGTGCAGCAGCAACTTGAACACGGTCGAACTCACTTGAGCATCGATGCTCAAAGCGGACCGCCATGAGCCCAGAGAGTAAAGGACATGCAGACGGCAATGAATGGGCATAGTAATGACATAGATTATGTCAACCTTCTGCTTTCCTTTAAACTCTTTCTTTGCGCTGACTTATGTTCCGTTTTCTTGGTTTTGTTATTGCTGTTTTTGCTTCATCTTTGTATTTGCAACATTTTGTTGCAAACTTTTTTACACAGCTCCTTTCATTTTAATTTTACTTGCTTTTCCATCGAATTTCTCATTTCGTACGTGTAGAAGAACGTGCCAGTATGCGGCAAGCCTTGACTGAATATGGCGCCGTATGTATGTTGGTTGGTGCGTTGTATTTGCATGCTCAGTTGAAAGGACTATTATTGTGCGCTGGATAAATGTTTATGGGCATAAGCATTCGTAAGGCCATTTAATGGCGCTGTTTATAGTGAATGGCATTTTCGATGGTGAAAAAGAAATATTTTTTTGTTGTTTTTTTTTTTGTTTTTTCTTTATTTTTTTTTTTTGGTTCAGAAGGAAATATTTACTTATATACCTATCTGCCTAGTGCAGCAGGTATCTCACATATTCAAGTTATCGCGATTTTTACTTAAAAAATTGTTATTTTATTTTTTTCTTGAATATTACAGTTCGACGAAGACCCACGCACCGAAGCCTTACGCGAGTACTCATACGGTATTATTTTACCGATAATCTGTTCGCTTGGCATCATTGGTAATGTCCTTAATCTGGTTGTACTGACGCGCAGAAATATGCGCGGCACGGCTTACATTTACATGAGAGGTAAGTGAGAAATTTAATACTTCTTTAATTAAAAATAAATTGTTAAGAATTGTATAAGGGATTTTAAGAGCTAAATTAATTTTAAAGGAAATAATTCTTTGTTAATATTCTGAAGTTGAATTTCAATTTTCTACGGCAGTAAACATAAAGAAAATCTGTGGTAGAAGATGCCTTTTGCTTGTTGGGGTTTTCCATTTCATTAATTGAGGCTTTATTTGATCTAGAACGATGTATAATATATGGTCAATGGCGGAACCTTGAGGTCGAAGACCAGACTGATGTAGTCAAATCAGTAAATTGTTGGTAGGTTTATAACCACTGCAGTTAAGGTCTTACAATTCTTGCTAGGGGCGAATTAGATATTGGTGTGGCCATGACTCTTCGCAAGGTAGTAAAGTAGTATACTTATCCCAAGATGATTTTTGCTGGAAGTGAGGTCTTTTTGGGGAATGTCAATCGTCAGCCATACTTCTTTTTATCACAATCCCGTTTGCCAGCTTTTCGTCATAATATTTGAATAGTTCAGCCAAAGTTTTATCCGCTCCTGCATCTACAAGCAAACGGCTGCTATTTGGACTTCATCATAGACTTGTCTATTCAATCGTCTTCGGTTGATGATTCGATCTCACCATTTAAGGGCGTTTTACTTTCACAGCCATTCAGTTGTCAAGAAGAGTGATCTCACCATAAACTCAATACACTCTGGGCATCATCTCATATCTGAGAATACGCGGACCTTGTAAATTTCTGTAAGTGGTTGCAACTTCAAAATTAAAACTTTTCGATGTCTGCCAACTTCTCAAGACATTCATACTCAGGCATTTCGGGTTTTCACTTTTCTGGTGTCTTACATATCCCAACAGCTTTCAACAAAGGCGGGTGCCTTGGCAGCAGCTTGATCCGAATTGCTGTGTAGGAGGGCAAAACGTACGCACAACTAGAATAGTTGAAATATAGCTTCCGACTACATGTAGATTAAGAAATTGTTTGCCCTCGACGATACGACTATATGATTCTTGCCATACATATTGTGGAAAGACGTTTATTGACCAGAGTAGATAATAAAGCTCCTCGGCAGAAAGTCTTTCCTGCCACAAAATGTATACAAAACTTACACTCGCTTGCATAACCACTGAAGTATTTGGTATTAAGGATCCGGATATTCCAGGATGAGGCCCTCAAATTTTAGCTTTTTGCTCACTGGAGGTTCATATTCACAGCTTTTGAAAATAATGGTAATTTTTACTTGTATAATTTTTAAGAAAAAATTTCATATTTGTTTTAAGCAAACAACTTTTTACCTACAATATTGTGTCAAAAATCACAAAATATTGAAAAGGATAGTAAAAAAAATTGTATTAGAGAAATCAATGACCTTTTGAAGACAGGTGAAATTTTCGAATGAAGGAAGTTAATTTAAAAAACAGGCTCTAAGAATCGTCTTGAGAAAAGTACAATAGTATCATCATTATTAACGATTGTGAAAAACACTTTCCTATGCTAAAACGTGAGGACAATGACTCCTCGTCGGATGAGAGGAAATTAGTAATTTTTTATCAGCAAATTTACTAAGTTGTATGCGAAAATTAATCATTCTTGAATTTATATGAAGAAGACACTGAACACACAATATTGAGAATAATAATATAAATATTTCCACAATTACTGCATCCCTGTCATTTGCCTTGCTGTGTGATTTAGATATTAGCATGCGCATTATTAACATCATCAGAATCATACGTAGCTATTAATTTTCATTTGCCTACTCGATTAGTAAACAAACGAAGGATCATAAATTTTGGCTTCTTGGCACACGCTGTTGGCACACTTTGTTGGGTTAAGGTTGCGTGAAGACAGGACCAAATGCCTTGATTATTGCAAGTAGATAGACTTTTTTTATATTACTACACACATACACTTATAACATTGAGATAATATGTATGTTACGTAGCTTTTGCTTTGCATTAGCTTCTGTTGCTATTTGGTTAAACAATTAGGCAAATGCTCAATTTAGGCCAATAAAAGTGGCAAGTGCAGAAATAAAAACATACAAAAATTAGAACCGGAAATAGGAATACACACACAGATACATACATATAATACAGTATAAAAGTAAAGCAAACAAACATACACATTTGACACACACGCCTCTTTGCGGTTATTTACCAAGTCATTGACACCAATTTGGCACTCCAAACAACATGTCCTGCAGATATATGAGTGTGTATGTATGTAAATTGTACACTCGATTTCCCCAAAATTCATAGTAAAATTCTTGGTTGTTATTATGCCAGCGGCAAAACGTGTTTAGTGGTAAAAACATCTTGTTATTTTTGCACTTGCTTTTACTCTCTCCAAAGGTTATTGGCACTGAAATCTTACACATGCATATAAAGGGTGATTTTTTGAGAGCTATAGAAAAAGTTTTCAAAACAAACACATAAAATGCAGAAAAATGCATGAAATCTTTATTTGAATCGTTAGTACCGTACATGTAATTTAATATTTGAAGTTTATTTCATGCAAATGTTGACCGTGACTGCACCCCAAACGATCCATCCGCTTAGTCTAATTTTGTCAAACTTCAATGTTGCCCTCCAATGCGTCATTTGAAGCGGGCTTGTCTGTATAGACATTCCATTTAACATAGCCCCAGAAAAAATAGTCTAAAGGCGTTAAATCGCACGATCAGGCGGCCTTTCGCTCGGTTCCGAACGTGAAATAAAATGTTCACCGAACACGCCTGTCAGTAAGTCTATTGTTACGCGTGCTGTGTGGCATGTGGCACCGTCTTGTTGACAGTGCGCCAAAACAGGTAACCTGCGTCAACTGTTTAAAGCAGTGTTGCCAAAGAGATAATAGCTAAAAAGTCGCCCTTTACTTGTATATAACGTACACTCAGCAAAGAAAGCCAAGTGGGTTGTCTTTCCATAAAACTGTCATTCAGAAAGCCAAGATTGGAGTCCTAGTCTGACCAACGTCAAAAACTGATAGAAAATTAATTGAGTACACAATACAAGCTTATAAGATTTCACACTCAATTTATTTTCTGACCGATCTGGAAAAATTATTTGCCGTCAGATTGTATATAATATTGTTGCGAAAATGCAGGCGAAAGTCAGATGAAAGAGAGAAGCTGATAACTAGTACATTCTAGAACAATAAAACGAGAACCTCCGATAGCGAACACTTTCGTCTACGAGCAGCCGACTGCTATATAAGGGCGACACTCAGCTGCCAAGTTAGTTACAAAGTGAACTCGTTGGCGTTAACAACAGTAAAGCCGAAAATAAACGCGTTGGGGATTACATTTTAGTAGAGTAAATTGTGAAAGTTTATGCAAGTGATTGTAGCTAGTAAAGTGCATTGTAATTGAATTGTGAACTACTGAGTAAAAAAAGGACATTAGATAAATTCGTTATAACGAAAGAAACTGCAAATTAATTTGGCGATTTTTATTTAACAATTTAGAGATCGTACCCGAAGGATTCAGAAAATCATCAAGATTGGTTCATCAAATTGTAAAAATATGTATAAATTTATATGTACGTTTTATTAAAAATTAAAAAAAAAATTTAATTAAAAACTTTCATCACGAGAACGAGAATATAAAATTTTCAGAATCATCAGGAAAAATACTAAACTTATATTCATTGATCGTTTCGTCGCAAAGTATAGAAGTAATTATTCAGCACAAAACACTTTTGCTTATTGGGTATACTCTACACATTCGTTAGTGTATAATAAAATGTCACCATTACTCGTGCTTTTGTTCGAGTGTTTAGTTGTGTAGAGCATGTTGCTTACCACCTTAAATATGTTCTGTTGCTAAGGCGTTGAAAAATGTATGAATGTTGCAACACTACAAGCAGGCGTCAACATTTTTTGTGGCCTCTCTATGATTTTTTGATAAATTGTTATTTTTCGCAGATTTCCTTCTTCTTCTACTTGCTCTTCACTTTGGCAGTCATTATTATTATTTACATACATTTTCACTTTCGTTGAATTAAAACAGCAACCATTTAAGATTTGTGCATTTTTATGCTGGAAGCGTAGAAATCTTCGATATTACTGGAGTATGAACGTTGTACTCGTTACTAATATTTTTTGAGGTTTGATGAAATATGAATATAATAGACGTTTATCCATATGCATAATGGATTTAGCTCGGTATTTAATGCCAGGAGATTAATTGTACCATTAGATGCTACTTTTAGGGACAACAGAGTAAATAATAAATCAAATCAACAATTTCCATTACATATTTACGAAACTTCTTTACGTTGAAGTCACTAAAATTCAAAACATTTGGTCTAGTAAAAAGTAAACCATTATTTTTGCCTTAAATTGCAGACTTTATTTATGATAGTTAGATATATCCGAAATTTCAATTTCTGCAAGATTTCCGAATGCAAAGGTAAGTCTAAATTCCAATTCCAAACTTTTCGACTAATTTGTGTCTTAAGCACTTAAGCCCAAGTGCCCGTTTTAGTGTTTTGTCAGAGATATCTAAGTGATAGAGTTCAAAAAAAAAATATGTTGATCTACAACACATTTCAAGCTAGAGGATAATCTTTTAAGTTCTAAAAATTCGTAATATTGTATTATATAATAATATCTCTCTCCATCTTAATTGACGATTTTTAAACACCTTTTCCATCACTTGACTGATGTTAACTTCGGTACAGAACGTTTGATTAGAGTGATGCAACTCATCCACCTTCACTCCACCCCTTTTGAACGCAAGTTTTGGTAAGAACAATGAAATGAGTTCCGTTGTTAAATAAATATTTTTGGAACGTTTTTGGTGTGACATTGTTGTATGATATATTCGAAGTGGAATATCAACTGAGCACAGTAAAGAAATTAAATTACAGGCCGCGCTTGAACTTAGTGGTGGTACAGAGGACAGTTACCTATTAATAAGTGAAGAAAAGAAACAGCAAAATATGTTACACTGGTCAGCAAAAGTCTTGTTTCCTTTAACTAGTTTCCATTAT